TGGAATCCCAGTTCTTGTAGCGTGCATATTAGCTGCAATCACTCCGCTACTCTATAATTGGTTTTACTCATAGGGGCTTGCCTTGCCCAGGTCTGGTGGCCCTCGCTTGAAAGAAACACAGGTCTACCCTGAGAAGTTTGGGGTTGCTGTGGCAAAGCACCACTTGAAGCTTATGGCACGGTTCTCAGACTATTGGCTTCCTCGTGAACAAGACCAGTCTAGTACTATCTAGATCTAGTACATCTACAGCTTGAGGAGCGTCGATCCAGCTTCAGAATGATTTCTGAAGTAAAAAGGCTGGCTAGCCAGGGGTGTGTTTTTTCCAGACAATGCTGAACGTCCCCTCTGAAAACCATGGCCACATCGTTGATTCATCTGGGGAAGAAGATATTGTCAGCGGTTCTAACTAGTATACAGTCTGCTTGTGGGAGGCAAAACGAAAGAAGGTGGGGCCCTACAAGTGGGCGCACGCTGAGCTGAAAGGCTTTGAGGGATTCCTTGTGGAAGCTGCTCAGGATGGCCGGTACACCCCAGCTTTCCCCCTTGACCTTTTCAATGGTCCTGAGCATGAACATGACTTTGCTAGCTTGTTCATGGGCTAGCTATACAGCAAAAAGGTCTAGGACGTTAATTCAAAATTAGTGAAATCATGGAAAATCATGCTGGAACCTGCCAGCGTGAAAACTCCGTGAGAAGTGCGTAAGTACTTAGTGAAAAGGCCGTGAAAAGCCCGTGAGATTGAGTGACTTGGGATTCGTAAAAAAAAACTTGATTTAATCGTACACTTTCGTACACGAACGAACTAGTCCACTGACACTCGTGATCGTACATCTATCGCTCGCAGCCAGTGATTGGATTTCTGAATAAAGGTAGGGCCTTGAGTGTAGTGATGGCACCTTTGAATATTGATCCTGTAGAAAAAGCCAAAGAAAGGGCTGCCAGAGCATCTCAAAAGTTGAATGGGCCATCGACTCAATTTCAAAAATGTATATGGATCGATATAATTAAGATCAATTTGCCAAGGTCAAACGCTGCCAGCGCGACAGGTCTTGTTCTTAGCCACACCCACGCCACCATCCCATTCCCCTTGGGCTCTTAGCCAGCGCCTGCACGAGCCCAGGTCCTGGCAAAAAGGAGCCAGTTGCCACACCGTGCCGGGCAGATTCCGTTCGTCGCAAGCTAGAGTTTGCGAAAGCGGATTCCCAGGAGACCTTGAAGTTTGGTTACAGTACAAGTATGGACACCAATGACAAAAAGGCTTGCAACAATCGATCGCGGACTGTAGACAAGCTTGATGAGACTCGTGAACCCAAAGGCAAAACAAAGGCTAGTCCAGCTTCGTCCAATCCCAAACAGGAGGTTGATCAGGCAGACTTAGGAAAGAAGGGCAAGCCAGAAGCAGGAAAGCCAACACCAGAGGCAGAGGGAGCAGAAAAGGAGCTAACGCCATCTGAGAGAACACGTCAGTTTCTGGCCAAACGGAGGGAAAGTAGAGAGAAAGGGGCGCTAAAGGAAGCGAAGACCACAGGTTCAGGCAAGAGTCAGGGAAAAACAAAAGCTCAGGAGGCTTCCAAGCAGGCAAAGAATAAGATCAGTAACAGGAGCAAGGTGATTAAGAATGGAAAGGCCAAGGTTGAAAAGAAGACAAAGCCTAGAAAGCCTGTTGCAAAGCCAAAGGCAGCATCAGCAAAGCCAAAGTCCGCACCAGCAAAGTCAAAGAGTTCCAGTAAGGAAGCAGCAGCATCAGCAGCGAAGGAAGCAAAGGCAGAAGCACCAGAACACAAGGATCCAAAAGCCACACCGGCTGATGGGGAGGGTGCATCAGAACATGTTGTCACTCCTGAGGGTAAGAAAAAGGCGCATGCTATGTACATGAAGTATTGGAGGTCTTTGAGGAGTTCCTGGGTTGCATGTTTAGACATATTTCTTGCGACCTTCGATAGTTTAGCCAAATCCTGGTTCCACATTAATTCACACAACAGTTTCTCAGGTCGATCAACACCGAAGCAGGTCAAGGATTTGGCATCCCGTTTCAAGTGGTGTCCACACCCCAGCAGTTCATTCATCTACATGGATACGGGTCATTTGGGTCAACTGAGGCGCTGAACAATCACAAATGCTCTACGAGGACTTTTTTTTTCTTCCGGGTGCGACTGGAAAAAGTCAACCATTTACCGGTCGGTGACCAACACCTTTGAAAACAGGCGCACCGGAAAAAGGAAGTGGCTGACCAGGCAGCAAATGTTGCCTTTCTTCGACAACGATCCAGCCGTGGTCGACGCGGTGATTCTGCGCAAGAAATCGGACCCTGAACTTTGCAAGAACGAGATAAGACCACACCCAGAGAACCCGAGCGTAATGCAGTACCTGGTTCTTGTGGAGGATGAAGAGGAGGCCACTGAACGGGACAGGATCCTTGATAAGTTCATCATGTCAACGTCCAGCCGAGGTGGTGGTGATGACCCGTCAGGCTCTGAGGATGAGGATGGCGAAAGTGATGGTGAGGGCAGTACCCGTGATTCCCCTGAGAAGAAGAAAAGCAAGAAGGAGAAAAAGGAGAAGAAGAATAAGAAGGGAAAGGGAAAGAAGGGACAGAAGGCTAATCAAAACAAAAACTGGGTGTGTATGTTGAAGCTGCTAGAGTTTGCCCCTAAGTGTGTTGTTATTGGTTGAGGCGAAAAAGAAGGGTGAAGTCAGCCCAGAGGAGGCTGAAAAGGAAAAAGCTAAGGAGGCGTACAAGGAAGAGATCAAGAAGGTTAAGCAGGTTTGGTACTCATTGTGGCACTCCGTTCGCTCATATAGTTCGACCAGTGCATTGAAAACCTTACCAACATTAATCCACACCGTGCCACAGGCCATCAACTCTGTCAACGCAGGGATGCGCGCAGCCAATGAGAAAAAGCAGTCGATGTCAAGTCTGTCATTGACTTATTTAATCTGCGAGCTTCATGTGCCATTGATCTTGTTTTATCCTTTAGACTTTGAACAATCATGATTCCTGGACCCAGGGCGCCAAAGATCAAGGAGGCCATCGACAAAGAGATCGATGCCCTCACTTCGAACCTTGTGAAGTTGAGGGCCACTTTGCAAAAGGCCTTGGACGATGCGGCGCAGGACTCTCACTGGGCTTGAGTTGGAGTTCAATCATGCACATGGCATCCAACTTAACATTTACCATTTTTTGTGGTCCAGATGAAAGAGCTGGAGAAGCACCTCAAAACCGCTGTGGATAAATTGGCTGAGTATGATGCAAAGATGGAGCCAATCACTGGCAAGAAGAGGAAGGTTGAAAAAAGCTCCTCTTCAAAGAAAAAGTAGGTCAAACACTGGCCCGTGGTGCTTAACAGCTGTTGATCATTGGATGTATGTGCTGTATGCAAGGTTATTTATGAAATTTGCTTTTTGGGGCTCAGTGTCTTGGGGTATGTGGCCGGAATCACCCTTAGGACGCTGTGTGAATACATACAGCTCGTGGGTGGAGGCTTTTTCACTTAGCCTGGGGTTTCAATGGCACGCATTTAGGCTCATGAGTGATCGATCGCAAAGGCATCCAAAGAAACTGCGTCTGTGGATCTTGTCCTTTCTCCGATGTACACTCATGCACATTGAATCCTGGATGTTGATTTGGAGCCACACCAAAAGCCCCATGATTCCCTGTGAGCCCACTTCAATGATTGACAGCTGGGTCCCACGCAGGTGATGACGGTCGAAACCACCAAGTTGGCCATATGTTGGATAGCCTCGCTAGTGGAGTTTCTTGGTGGCATTATGTGTGGCTACAACCGGTACTCCTGGCAAGACAGCTAACATGGACCCTCAAAACGACCCCCATTTGGAAGCTGAGTTTCCTCTACAAACCAGTGGTTTGCAGCTTATATTTTTATGCACCAAAAATGTTGCGGTATCACTTCCTACTGCCCAGGCTTCTATCCAGAAACAAATGGAGCAAGCCACCGCCTGTTTCAAAGAGACTTGCCCAGCAACTCTTGTCGAAGTTTCATTGCGCGTGTGCGCACGCAATTTTGGGTAGGGATCTCCAAGGACACACCTGTGGGCTTGCCACCAGCCATTAAAAAGCTTGGATCATATCGTGGTGTCAAAAATGCTGCCAGAGACTTCCGACGGCAATTCAAACCACCTGTGGACTTGGGGTTGCAAACATGTTTTTAAGCCCTTGACATTTTGTCCTGCGCCGTGCCTGTAGGAAACGCTTCTGATAAACCCTGCAGGACATTGTTTGGGTGGAAACCAAAGTGAAGGGCAAACTTCGTGAAAGTGAGCCCGTATCCAAAGAAATCCCAATCATTCTACCAAAAGATTTGCTTCGCTATCTATTTGGTGAATTGGGTGTGTCGATTGATGCTGAAGAGGTGAGAAGGTATTGGCAACATGCCAGAGAATGTGGCTGCCCATGGGGAAACCTTTCCGACGGTGATCATCACATACCATGCGCTTTGTACGGTGACAGTGCAAAGTATTCGTACATTGGCGAGAAGATCACCTGTGTCTTCTTTTCCTTGCCGCTTTGGAACCCACGAGCAGCAAGATATCGCATATGGCTGTTGTTCGCACTGGAAACTTATCAAACGCTTGGAGGTTTGACCATCAACCCATTGTACCGCAGAATTGTGGAGTCGATGTGGGAGCTCTACTCTGATGGTTTAGAGGTTAATGGTAGAACCCTTCACTTCGCAGTGTCCGAGATCAAAGGCGACTGGGAATGGCACGTCTATTCAATGGGTTTGAGTCGGTCATGGCGAAACCCAAAATTCTGTTGGCGATGTGAGGCCAGCAAAAACCCATCACCCGGAGACTGTAGCTATGTTGATTTCGCTGATGCCCCTGGTTGGGAGACCACCCAACTCTCCCAAACGCAGTTCTTGGCCCGCTGCATTGACACAAGACGGCCTGGCGGACCATGTGCTTTTGATGCATTAATTGGTAATGGAAACCAGTGGAATACCTAGTAAGTAAAGATGTGTTTCCAAACCAGCTGTGCAGGTGCCTTCATCTTGCTTCCAAAATTTCATTATTCGATGATGCGCCACTGCAGCATGCACAACATAAACTTGGGGATTGCAGCGGTGGCCAATGGGAGTAGTTTGTTCCTTGCATGCTCTAGCTCGATCTAGAAACATGATTAGACCCAGTGTTGTCAGTCACAAATTGCTTTGCCCACCAAGGCTCCTATTGGCCCTCTTGGGCTACTTTGGAGACTGCGACAATGTGTCTTTGGCAGATCGGTTGGTGATTGCCTACAAAGACTTCAAGGTTTTCTGCCGCACGAACCGTGTCTTCAGCTCCCAACCCCTGTTCACAGTCAAGAGTGCAGCTAAGCTATACTAGATCTATTTAATTTGAACTGAATGGGGTATAATGAAGTCATCAATTTTGAGAACCAGGTATGGAAGGCAACATCTTTGGGGGCAGATCTGTCAGCAAAAGCGTACAATGCGCGCGTGATTACCAGCTGGCTAGCATCGTGCCTCCACATCGTACAGCAGCGTTCAGTCCCAGAAGGCCGCCTGTGCGGACTGTGGGTTTCTGAAAACGGCCAGCCTTGGCCCGACCATGAACTTCTTTTGCCTTCTGCAGTTGCTATGATTCTCATCCCATTTCATTGGAAAATAGGTTGTGGTCTAGGCCTTGGCATGTACGTACTAGATCATCCCCCAAGTCTCTCCTAATCAAGCCAAGGAATGCTTTGGCAAAGAATTTTTGGCTGGTGGAATCTTACCCCCGGTATTTGCGACCTGGCACTCATGGATTAGGATTTTATTGGATATATATGTGTCCCTCCAGCTGCATGCCATGCACATACATTCACTTTGCGAGGTCACCACAGCAAGCGGATGAAATCTACTCTTCAGGCATGACCTTCCTTCGTGCTCATCGGCTTCTCACTATCATCTCACAAAGGCGAATATATGGGTTCTTGACACACGGTTCTTCTTGTTTCACACGCGCTACTGTAGCTGTTGCAGGTGCCACCTGCTTTTTTGGAATTGCCTGCCTAAGCTCCATGCTTTTTGGCTGCGTATGCGTTGCAGTTGTGTGCAAACATGCACGCATGTGCGTGTGCATGTTAACGTGGCTGCTGAGGCCTTTCACCATCAGCTACTAGACTGTAAAAAGCAGCGTGCGGGCCTCTTCTGATAGCGCAAGTCAGAAACTATATATTTGTGTGACCTCGGTCGATGAACGGATTAGGCCTTAACTGGCGTTTCTTCCACAATTTCCTCGAAGAGGATCAAATGAAGTGGGCGAAATGTAGCTTGGCAATACATGTTCTCCAATGTTTCCACTCGTTGTGTTACTTGTGCCTCCAACTTTTCAGGTATTTGCCAAATTGCTTCTCGAATCAAACTGGAGAGATCAGTTCTTCGATCATCGCAGTTTAGGCGGGTATATATATATATGCAACTAGTTCATGTGATGCACATGGATGCATGTGCGCAGGCTTTTGGCGATGAAGCGGCATATCCGAAGGTTGAACACGCGTGCCATGCAAGAACTCCGGAGATAAAAAAAAAGCCGGACCGGCCTTCAGCATGAGCAGGGAGAGGGCAGCTGCAGCTGTTTGCATGTTCCGCTGGAGCTTGGGATGGCTTTGGGTTCGGTTTCTCGGGATGATTGAAGTGAAAACCAAGAGAGTGAGTAAACCACTCACTTTAGGTAACGTACATACTTTATGTTAACGTTCGCGTCTACTCAGTCCTCTGGAAGGACTGGGATATGTTTGCCCAGACGCTCCGAACTCACAGCCCTTTCCTGGTCCCTATGAGACCCCACACCCCTCCATATGAGGATCCAGGTGGTAGATCGACTGGAAAGGTTGCTAGTGGAGGCCCAAGACCTGGTTTGTCTGTCCTACTTTGGCGAGGCGAGGCGAAGTCCCAATGACTCTGGTTTGAGCAGGTACATGGAGCAGCATGGTATACTATGATGGTATACTGTCCTCAGTACTGTACTTCTTTTTTTGATCTTTTATGTGTACATAGTACATGGCCCAGTTCATCGCAGTACCAGCTATAGTGAGCTTCGGTCGCCAGATTATTAGATCTACCCAGACGCTCCGTTCACAGCTCGACTGGTCCCTCAAAACGTATAGGGATTGGTTCGACCCCAGACCCCTCCAGAGGACTCGGGTCCAGGGTCGCGTCTGGGTAATATATGAATTACGCAGTCCATCCTCCCACTTCCTCCACCCTTCTTGCCCCAATGGGCCCCCCTTCGAACGGAAAACGACCGACGACCACGACCGGACACGGCCAGATGGGTCGAGTGAGTCGCTGGAGCCCCGAACTGCGCGACCTGCTGCAGCAGTGCGTGGCCTACCAGGGCGCGCCCGGCGGCGTGCGCTGCTCGGCGTGGTTCTTCGGTGCGACCGGGCGTGGTGGATGCGTTCTGAATCGAGCGTGGAGGGCATGAAAAGTGGATGCGCATGAAGTCCCCAGCGTGGGCTCACATGATGTTCGTTGCCCATGAGAATCATGGCCCATGATTTCGCAACGAACCTGGTTACAGGTGAACTTCACAACGACGTCGTGAACACGGCATGCTCCCCCACCCCATGCGCCGAGTTCCGCGCCACCGCGGCATGCGCAGTGCTCCCCTGATGGAAGACGCCAAGAGGGGCAGGTCTTCCGATCAAATATCGATGAGAGTCAAAGGAAGGTCAGAGAGCCATAGATAGCCTTCAAAGGGGTAGCATAAACATGCATAAACCCCATATAAACCTCAAATAAGTAATACTGTTTTCTTTGGTCCTCTCTAGATCAAACAAAGCCAACGTTTCCCCCGTGGGAAAAACACCTCTGAGGCTTGGGCCTGTACGGCGATCACCATGGCTTTGGCCTTTGGGAGGTGCGACCACGACCAGCGTGGATGGGTGGAGGAGCTGGGACATCAGATGTTCGAACATGATTACTGTAAGTAAAAAACAAAGCATAACAACTTCTGGACTTTGTTGACTTTGTTGTGTTTGTTTGTTTCGTTTGTTTGTTATGTTTGCTTGCTTGCTTGCTTGTTTGCTTGTTTGTTTGTTTGTTTTGTTTATGTGTTTTTTCCCCGAATGCCTAGCGAAGGGCTCTCGTTTATAGTGGGGGTGTGAGGGTTGGACTGTGTTCGCCTCGCGTGCTCTGACTCGTCCTCTCTCGTCGTCGCAGGGTCGTCGCAGGGGCGCGGTGGGGTGCAGTGAGGCTAGGAATTTGTCCCCATTGGGCGAAGCTTTTGGAGACGTTTGTCGATGCTGGGTGATCGTCAGACTTGTCGCCCATACCGTGGTTTTGGGATGTTGGATGTGGGAGGATGAATTGAGGATGGATTCACTGCGCAGGCGCAGCGTTTGTGAGATCCGCAGCTTTCTGCGTAGTCACATTGGGATTGGTGTTTGGAGGGTGTTGAAATCATTCCAAACAGAAAGCTAAATGAAATAACCCACTGGGTGTAAGTTTAGCAAGTCAAGTTACTTGACGATTCTCTTGCAAAGCAGGAAAGGCGTGTAATCCCAGACTTTCAGAGTCAAAAACTTGGTAGGCGCGCCAACAACCAGAACAGCCCAAAGGTCCACGGACACAATGCGTACTTTTCGCGCTCACCGGACTTGTCCAAGCGCGTGGCCCCAGATCTTGCCGGATCTTGCCCATCTGTGACGCAGCATCAAGCATGTTTGCAAGTACAAGTCCGCCCGCGCCGAAGGTGCCGAGGGCATTGTGGCAGCAATCGCCAGAATCGTAATCGAAAGTGAATCTTAAGCTTTAGCTTGGGGGACGTATTTGTTCGGGAAATGCTGTGTTTTATAGTGGTTTTGAAAGATGTACAAAAACTGTACCAAACGTTGGCGATGCCGTTTGCGCCGGCCGGGGGGAGACTGCATTATCCAAATCGCCGATGCATGCGCGACCCGGGGGACACTGCATTATTGACATCGTGGGTGTGCTCGTCCGTGTGTCCTGCCCGACAGAGATTCAGACTGACAGACCGAGATAGACAGACCGAGACAGACATAGACAGACACACCAAGACAGACACAGACCGAGACCGACAATTGACATCGTGCGTGTGTTCGTCCGTGTGTCCTGCCCGACCGAGACAGACGGACCGACAGACTGAGGCAGACAGACTGAGACACGCTTGAGCCCGGTTAACATTTCCTCCCGGCTCCGAGAGCACAAGTTGCTAGAGCGAAGGTTGCTGCCGAGCCAGTAGGGTGCTAATGACACACTTTTCCCATGTATTTCTGGATGTGTGTCTGTATGTATGTATTATGTCTGTATGCATGGATGGATGTCTATGTCTGTATGTGCGTGTGTATGTTTTCCCTTTACTCTGTGTGGGCGGTTTCGACCGCGAAGCGGTGTGAAATGGTGTGAATATACGTGAATTAACGTTGTATACATGGAGTGTTTGGGCACGATATTCCCTTTAGCTTTGTTTTCTTGAAAGGCTTTCCAGTTTCTTGATGGTCTTATAGCTACTGTAGATCATTTCAGCCGAAGGGGGGGCCTTCGCCGCACTCGCCTTCGTTCGACGTGTACGGCGCAGGCAGCCGTGAGTCTGGCGTTCCACCAGGGCGACGACCAGGTAGCAAGCTGCTGGGCTCGCGCACGCGCGATCGACAATCTACGATGGTATGTGTCAGATTGTGGTTGGTTGGTCAGTTTTTGAACAAGCAGGTTCTCAGTCTGTTTTCAACGGAAGTGGTAGGACCGTTGTTTGGTGAAATACCAGCATTCACACATGTCCCATCCAGAATTGGTGTCAGATATTTTCACCGTGCTTAGGGTCTGCGGTTTTTTTTTTCAGGAAACGCGGCTGGGTCAGCGTCCCATGTCACGGTGAAGGCACACGGTTCTTGGCCACCGGCCTGGCTACCAGAACAAGAGCACAATTTTTGTTTGAACCAGTTCCAAAACTTCAAGGGAGTGGATGAACCTCAAGGGAGTGGATGTTCGAACGGCACCGGAATTGTTTTTTGTGTTTGTTGTTAACCCTTCTTGCTATAGGTAGTATTCTTCGTCACAACATGTCCAAACCAGAGATCCGAAGCCAGTTCCGTCCTCCATGTTGGGCCGTTCATGTGGTTTGCCGGGACACTCCATGGGATGGGAATAGGCGTATAATTACATTCTGGCTAGTTCCAACGACCGTGTGAAGCTAAAAACTATGTATAAACCCCGGGTCAACCACCCCAATCTATGTCAATGTTCTGCCAGTTCCAGACAGCTTGTGCCTGAGACATGTCTCTTTCCGACCGGCAAAGGCCGCTACGGCCCAACGAGGTGCCGTGGGCGACAGGCGCGGGCTGGGCGTGGTTGGGCGGAGTGAGGGGCCTTCGTTGGATTCCGGTGTTGGGCGGATCCGATTTTCTCGAGATAGATGGGTGAATCAAGGTGAATCCCCTGGTTTGGTCCCTGCTTCGAGCAAAGCCTGGCCGCCTGGCCACCTGGCCTACCATTGCCATCACTACCCAGTGGATCCAAGCAAACCACTAGAGCCTAGGTTGCTACCAAGCACTTGTTGTTTGACTAAGGATTTTTACACTACAAAGCCAGCCATGATGTGTTTAATGGGCGAACGGAAGGCCCGGGTGTTTGTTGCACAGGGGTGTCACAAGGGTGTTTGTGTCCGGCAGTGGCCGGCCATCTCCAGTCTTTGTGTCCGGCTTTCTACCCGAGATCAGATCTGTGGCATCAGATGTCATTTCCCATACACTCCATGTATGCCATATATATTGCTCACATTGACCCCCCCCAGTCAACCACCCCTGGCCGTTTCTCGGCAGTCCGAACTGGCAGTCGCACGCAGACAGTAAGTCGTGTCTGGGTTTGTCTTTGACCTTGGTCAGCTTTCGTCACCGAAGCCGGGACCCGCCACCTCCGGACCCGCCAGGACGTTGCGGCACTGGTTCCTGCGGACGCCTGACCTGGGATGCCCCGAGGGAGAAAAGAGAGCCGCAGCCAACGTCATGTCGAGCGACAACGTCGCGAGCGAGCTGCGTTTCTTCACGTTGGACGATGTATGACTCCCTAGGGCTCCAACCATATTGTCAGAAGGTGGTTAGACCCCCCAAACCCACCCCAACCACCTTCTCAGGAGGTGGGCCAGGAGCCCTAGGGACGAATCATGTCGATAAGTCCTAGACACGACACAATGACACTATACCCAGACACTCACTGGGGGGGGCCATCTACTAGACCCAGACACTCCATGGTACTGGCATATTTATATATACATTGATCCCCAGTCAACCACCCCTGGCCTGATCGGCAGTCCTACGCCAGTCCCATTAGGAGTGTTTGGGAGTGGACGGGCCACATGGCCACAACTGCAACACATGGCCAACATGTTGCCTATACCATTTTGCAATAAAACTTTAGCCAAAACTACAAACAGGGGGTGAACTCCACTTCCGTTGCAACATGTATACTCAACAGCAAACAGCTGAGATCTCAGCCCGAAAAACGGCTCCACTCGTAGAGGTTCGGTCATCGGTCGGTCTCCACCGTTGGATGTTCGGGTTAGACGAGGTTCGGTCACCGATGCCTGTGAACTTTCCGGACAACACGTGAGAAACAAGAAGCGCAAGAAGGTGGATGGTTCAAAAGCAGGTAGGACATCCTGCCAAGTCATCAAACTATATCAAACTATATTGCTGTTTCATTTAAACAAACTTGACACCTGACACCTTCTTGCTGGGGATCAGAACGAGAAGATTCAACTGACCTGTTCAAATCTTTTGTAGCCAAATCAGGGAAGCTTCAACGCGCCTCGGATAGCTTTACTATGCTTTACTACCTTTTCATGATATAGGTATCATGCTTTCATGCGATTCCATTTCTGAAGGGCAGTTCTTCCAATTAACAGAAAAACAGAAATCAGTTCATGCATGGAATCTCTCTCTCTCTCTCTCTTCGTTTTCTGTCATCCCCCTGAAGCTCTTCAGCTAAGACCCCCCCGTCTCTCCCAGGCAGACTCGCCTCCCCACCGACACACCCAACCCGTGCAGGGCGGGCTCAACCATCCGCGTCGCGGCTCCGGAGCCGCCTGAGGTTGGTGGTTTTCAGTGCGGGTGGAAGAGCTGAGGCCCGGCAGCTTCCAGGACCTCCGGTGCGGCGCCGCGACAGTGACCGCTTTTTTGAGCCGGCCGGCCGTTGTCCCGTTGTCGATGCCGGGGCGTGGGCCTGGAGGCGTCCGGTGTTCAGAAAAGCTGGTCACAAGGGTCTTTTCCATGGATCTCCCCAAAGAAGAACTGTTGGAAGTTGGTTGGTCCTGCATGGAGGAGGACCTCCCATTTCGACTCCCCTTTATGATGCAGTACCGGCAGTTCGATCAACGACGATCGACGCACGGCTGGAGCGAACGACGGAAGAGACGGACGGATCGATGCACTGCAGGATCAGAGAGGAAGGGAGAGAGAGAGAGAGAGAAAGATTGTAACTCGGAGTTGAATTCTCTGAACAGAGAATGGTAACTCGGCAGAACTCAAATCTTAACTTGATGAAACTTGGATTTGAATTGCCTAACTCCATTGTTCGTCAATTGGAATGTCACTTATCGAAGAGTCCGGGCCCTCAGTGACTGCATGTTGTTTTTGGATGTTTTTGGTCCCTGCCAATTCAGATTCATCTTGTAGAGGCATAGGCCATCGCTATTAGGTTGGAGGCCATCGCTAGTAGAAATGTGGCCAACTCCACTCTGCTTCCAAGCCACAAAGAAGTGTATAGCTTGAACCTGTAACAGTCGGTATTAACAAGAACATCACTATCTTGGAGAAAGGCCTGGAACCCAACCAGCTGTTGCTGGTAACAGGATATACACAATGTATATATATAGCAGCTGCATGGTTGTAAAACGTCGCCCTTTTTTTTCGCCCTCACCCTCCATGTGCGAACTTGTTCCATTATCAACTCACTCAACCTGACTGTCTGTGAGAGATTCCTCTCATGTACATCTATCTATTAACCATTCTTTTACCTAAGGGTTTTCCACTACAAAACCAGATCTACTGGTACTTACAGGGTAGTACCTCATGGTAGCTACTACCATTGAGGTACTATTTTCCCTTATGTTATTACAACCAGTGAGGTCGTACACCATTAAAGAACATGGTTCTCAGTGACTTCCACCTCACTCTCTCGCTGCGAGGATGGCTTGGCCTTAGGCGTCACCACCTGTCCACCGAGCCGACTCAAGGAGCCGAGCCGAGCACCGCTCCGCGGTCTGGGCGGAGGAAGCGCTTCCGACTCAACTCCAACTGTTCCATGTGGCTGGAAGATGGCCTGCCAACTCTAAAGACCAGCGGAGTTCATTCTTCTCAAACCCCAAAGGCCCCCAAACCCGCCACTCGTGCGATGTTTTGATATTTGACGCTGCGACCAACAGCACAGGTGATGACACCCAGTCCAATGCAATGGGAACATGTAGCTGAACCATCCGCACCGCCGAGCCACTCCGGCTCCGGCGAAGCTCCGTCCGGCTGACCCCGGGTGCAGGAGTTGCCATTGACCATGGATGTGCCTTGGAGCGTTCGGGAGCATGAAGGATGAAGGTTGAAAAGCTGTGAAACACCATGAAACACATGTTTTTTTTGATGGGGTTGTCCCAAATCTGACAGGTGTGGGTGGATTCTGGACGGTGTTGGTTGGATGCTTCTGCGATTCCACAAGTCAAATCCTGACGGGGCAAGAGCATGTTCCTCCAAAGACCGTTCGTTTTTTGAACTGGATCCATGCCGTCCATGCACTGTCAAGAGGCCCCACAGAAATCTTGCTGGCGAAATGCTCATGTTTCGCATCAGCTGTGGAGGCGAATGGAGTGGCGCTGTAGAGCAGGCCAGATCGACCAACGGCCTAGCACCTACTGGAGACTGTTAGACTTACTGGGCTCCATGAGAGCAGCATGCCGGGAAGGGGATCGGCCAGGCAGGAGGAAGATCTACTAGCGGTGGCCGCGTGGAGAAGTCGAAAAGTCGCCCAGAGATCGACCTGACCGAAACACCCAGAAACGAGCAGATCGACCTGAGGAATCAGAATTGAGAAGGACCTGAATGACCTGATGGCCACCAACGACGGGCATTGGATGTGGCCGTACAGAGATTGAAGAGCTTTTCAACCACTGGAATCAGGGATCTCTACTTAGAGTTGATTGTTCCAGAGGGGGAGCAGAGAGCTTACTTCAGGCAAGAGATGAAAGCAGCGCAGCTGGAGCAGAAGTAGCTTACCACCCAGCTAAACTGCATCAATGGCCCCGCCGGTGGAGCACCAGGAGCAGAAATTTGCGGTTCCCTTTGTCTGGGGGTTTGCCTCCAGGGTTTTGGCACATCAACATACTTGAAACCATGGGCTGCGTAGTGCTTGCTTCAAGTAGCCAGCTTTTTGTTCACCATGCTTTCAACCAAAGGTTTCGCCATACTGTGCAACAGGGAATGTATATAACATTGGCTTGGGCCACAACCACACAAAACACTATCAGCTACACGCGCCAAAAAAACTCGCACAGCTACACACAGCTACACACAGCTACACAGCGTCACTTCCGTCGCAAGAGTGAACCGTCACGACGTCACACGAAGTGTCCTACGAAGTCGCAGCGAGTGTCCAAGGCCCTCGGCCTTCGTCGACCGGCCGGCGGACTGAAGGACGAGGGACGAGCCAATGAGGAGTCGACTGGCAGTCGGGGAACAGCGGCAGGAGGCAGAGGAACAGAAAAGAAGGGCAAGTACAAGTAAGACGAAGGCAAATTGGATGGACAAGTACAGTACAAAAGGCAAGATGAAAGGACAAGTACAGTACAAGTGGTAGATAAGAAGATGTTGAGTAGGTGAATGAATTCGCCAGGCCCTGAGGGAGGCACCGGAGGTGGACAAACCCCGATAGGCATGGGCATCGCAAGCACATGACAACGATCCTGAAGCATGGAAATCTTGTGGAGATGTATGAGCTTAACTCCAACAGTGCTTCCAACACAGACAGCTCTGACTACCACAAGCAATGGGAAAAAATCAAGCAAGCACAGACACAGAGGCGCGCCCCAGACATCTGGGTGGCGAAATGCTCATCGTTTCACAGAAAAGTCTCTCGTCGGGGGGGAAGTTGGTGAGACACCGCATTGTAGCTATACACACATTGAGTGAGCAAAGTGAATCAGCCGTGGTGGTGGTAACTGCCCAAAACACTCCTTAAAGTCGCCGAAAGAAAAACCAAGAAGCCGTGAGACCCTCGCCTATGGTGAGATGGTGATTTCCACTTAAACTAGCACGTCCCGCTCACAAATATGTCCTACGAGATGAATCATATTGAATCATCATCTCAATGTGAGTGCTTCAAAAGGACATATAAATGAATACAAGTGACATAAGTATGACTCGCCCAAACCAAATTGCATCAAGTACAAAATGCTTAGACAGATGTATACACGCAATGTCATGCGTATACAAGCTTCAGATTCTCTTGCAAAAATATTAAAACAGAAACATGTACCACGACCCCCAAGGGCTGGTTAATGGACACCCCTTGACCTCTAAGGGACTATTACTGCGATTACTGGACACCCTTTCCTTTGGTATACGTGGTGGTGTGTGTTTTTGTTTCTTAATTGTCAACCTTTACTATCGGGATGATTGAACCACAAAAAGAAAAGACCCCACTGACTCAATATAGATGTTTCGTAAGTTGGGTGGTTACACCGTGCCTCCATCGTCAGCTGTCCGGGTGGCGCCGCTCCACCGGCCGTGCGTTTCGGGGTCCGCCCGTTCGCCAGTTCGGACCATGGAACCGAAGACCCATGGGAAGAAATGCAGGAGGTAAGGTTCGGTGACCAATGAATTTATGAAAAAAGAAACACGGGGATATGTTTTGGCGCCACGATCCCTTCGATCCCCCTTTGATCCTGGCCTGGCCACGAACGTGGCCTGGCCTTGGCGACGTAGAAAAGGTCTTCACGTCCAACACTCGTCTCGTGACGCCCGCCGACTCGGGGGAGCGGGTGACCGGCCTAGGAAGTGGATCCTTGTTGGCTCTTGGGCTTCGATGGCTCCCCGGCAGCGGAACAAACACAGAAACGTGCCACGCGATGTCGCGACAGCGCGCGGAGCCGCGGAAGGGTTTAGGAGAAAGCGAGACGGGAAAGCGAGGACGAACCTAGCGTTTGTTGGTGTGTCCACGTGTCCTTTTTGGATCAAAGGAGGTCGGTCTAGTGAGCCATCTAGATTTTAGATGAATAGTTGGAACTGATTTGATCCGACGTTTGGTTTTGGATTTGATATTGTTTATCGGCACTGTCCAATTGGCCATGTTTTTTGGCGGAATTGTTGTGGTTTGCATGTGAGGAGACATGTTTTTTTTCCAGCTATCATGCATCATGCACGGCTTGGGCCGGCTTGTCCTTGTCCCCTTGGAAGACTAAGAACTCCTCAGTCTATAGTTTCTGTACTTCCATGTTCGTTGGATAGTAAAAAAAGTTTAAGGCTTACGCCGGACAGCTGTTTTTGCATGTGGTGTTATTGGGTCGTTGAGGACATTTTGTCCAAGGCCCACGGGAGGTTGTTTGTGGTCATCATGGGCCAGTGAAGTGGCTTCTCACTTGGGATGCTGCCTTCAACGTCGTCTTTGGACCAGCACCTCTTGCTGTGGAGGTCACGGAGGCATTTGTCTTGCCGAAATTCCTCCCAGCTATTGCGAACACGACTTGGGCTGTCACGCGCCATGCGTGTGATCTGACCTACTTTGTGTCAGAGATGGTTACTGATGTTTGGGACGCGCCTGTAGTAGCCTTTTTCGTCTTTCGAGATGGAAAGCTCTCCCCTGTTGGCGGCGCCCGAGTTTGTACTAACGCTCTGCTCACGAATCGATATGTCGTGAACGCTCTTTCGCAAGGACTTTACCATCCCCTATGGGGTCGTCCATCTCAAAGCCAAAAAACAATGGCAAAAGGGCCGTACCATCATTTCCTACTACCACTCCATGGCCGCATCGCTGCTGGCGGGAAGATGTGTTGCTTCTCGCTGCTACAAGTCCGTCAAGTCGGTTGAAAAGATGGTTGAAGTTTCTGACCTCACTGCTCTTGGCCCTGGTGTCAAGAATCTCCTTAAGTACCCCAATTGGAGGTGACTTCTGTCTGATCAACCTGCCAGCCAAGTTTTCTCAGCTCGGAGTGAAATCTGGCGGTCGCATTGGCTTCCAGTGCAACGCCAACGCCGTTCAATCAGGTTTTTATACCAAGGGAACATTTGGAATTGCCCAGCCCACCACCCTTTGCTGATCCGGGCGGACGCCCTGTCGACGACGCAGCAGCAGTTGGTGTGTCGTTACCTACGGTTCTGCGAGTATCTGTGGCAGGAAATGGCAAGAGACTTGGGAAGCTCGCCGACAGTGGGCTGGTCTTTTTGTTCGAGGAGAAGAGAAGCACGCGATTGGCGGCCCATGTTGGGGCCATCTTGAGACTAAGATAGGTCATCTTGGGGCGGTCTTGGGCCATGCCGGAACCATGTTGGGCCAGCTCGGCAACCATCTTGGGGCACATATTTTGGGCCGCCGCTGGTTTTCGAGTTAAGATGCCGATTTTTTCCGTGCCGGACCACCCCCAAGAGCCCAAAACACTGTAAAAACCGTGGTGTTTGAACATCGGCAAGACTAAATCCACGTCCATCCACGCGCACAAAACCACGTAAACCTGGGCCCAGCTTACACCCATCTTGGGCCTATGTTGGCCTATCTAGGCCCCCACGTTGATGCCGTCTGGGGCCTATGCTGGCGCATCTTGAGGCTATCTTGGAGCTATGTTGGGCATATGTGGGACCTATGTTGGGTCATCTTGGGGGCCTTTGTTGGGCATATGTGGTGCCTTTGTTAGGTCATTTCGGGGCACATTTTGCACCATTCCCGAATAACCGACACCACCCTTGCAAAACCCACAGCTTTTGCATTTCTCCATCTTCGACACGTTGCATCTTCCGCGCACACAACCCTGTAAAACACAGTGTTTTCTGCACCTCACGCACACAAAACACCGTAAATTACGCGACCTGAGGTGAACACGGGGTGAACACGGGCTCCCGAAACTCAATCCCCAGGCTCCCAACTTTCGGCTAGACAACAAGACCTGTATTCCCTTGCGCGCTCACCCTTGTTTCAACCGGGGTCGGCGGATTATAGAGCGGGTCAACTATGTAAGGGGAAGCACAATGAAGCACACGTTCGGTCAAAAACCGCGTACTCACTGGGGCGATACTGGGTTCGGGGCTTCGGGGGTTCCATTAAGTTTCTCGATGCGTTCCGGATGTTTGAACCTCCATTTGTCCGTTCTTAAGAGTGATCGAGAGAGCGAAAAAAACAGTGGAAGCATGTGGTCCAAGACCTGAAAACGACGTGCCCTCTTGTTGGGTGTTGTGCACTGACGTTGATCCATTCTTCGGGAGCACGGGATCATCAGCCTCAGGTATTCAGGAGTTGGGACGTTGGTATCCTGTTGATGGAACCAAGACATGGCGCTTCCCAAGCCCAGACAGAAAAACGCACGCCTTCCTTAATATACCCTCGCGAGCTGGTGGTGCATTTAGGAAGAGGGAGGCTTTGTACCTGGGTGTTTTGGGTGTTCCAGAGGATCGGGAAGTGGATTGTTTGTTTCTTTTGAGATACTTTGGAAGTCATTGACATGGAAAGTGGACGGCATGGATTGGATGACCATGAAATCCTCTACAAAACAGGCGGTGAACTCCACTTCCGTCTTAGTGACTCGGAGTGTATGCCATTGTAGGGAAAGGGATTGCTTTTGACAAGCTTGAACCCCTGTGAGGGTCGTAAAGCTGTCTCTCTTTGTAGCCGGAGGCCGGCCTCAGGGGCCCGCCAGGCGGACACTCCCAATCTGGTGAAGCTTTGCTTCCACCAATGATCGGGTTAAGAATTGAACGTCTGAACTTATCATGCCCCATTGCAGAGTCCCATGTGTTCTTTTTTCCCTACCTCCCTTCCTGGGTGGTAGTTTCAGACATGTTTAACCTCTACGTACTTGGGTTGTTGGATTCCACTGACAACTATTGCATACGAAGTGGGTTAAACTCACCATCTTGACGCTTCTTCAGCGTTCCCTCGTCTTGCTTGCCTTGGGCGCCAGCGCCTCTCAGGCGTCGAATGGGATGGCGCTCAACTCACCTGGGGCCCCGCCAGTTGGAGCCCAGCCACCCTGAAGGCACGGGCGCCAAGCGGAGCCGCCCTGGCTCCAAGGAGTGGAAGCGGGAACGGCCCCATCGCGCATCGCGACCGAGGATCGACCGGCCTTGACCCGTCGCGACGGCAGCAAAGGACGTCCAGCAGGTTGGTCATAGATGAGGTGTGTTCTTTTCGTTCGGAGGCCATGTTAAAGTGCGGAAGACGTCGCGATTTCAGCTGCCAAGAGTACCGAAAACCTGTTCCTGAAACCCTGTTGACATGGAGGTTCCAGGTGTCAGGGATGATTTGGACGCCTCTTCACCTGCGCTTCGTGTCTCCACACGTTTTACACGTTTTCGGGCGATGTCTCGACCTGTCTCGAGGTGGGGGATGTGGTCGGGGTGCTGGTGACCCTGCAGGGCGAGCTGCAGGCGATGGATGCCGGGTTGACCGATGGGGGTGGAGAGGGATGGAGGAGTTAGAGGGGGATTGGAGGAGGATGAAGTGAATTTGGCACTCCTAGGTGACTTACAGACACTATGGAAAGTTTGGGGGTCTTTGAGAGGGTTAGGTGTACAGATCTATGTCATCAGTGTCATCATCACGTTCTTTCGTTGGTCAAAGTGAGGCATTTGGTAATGACATTTCCGAGCGGGCTGAGTGCGGAGGGCCCTATGTTGGCCAATCTAGAATGGAACAGTTTGCACATATTCTTGCTGATGTTTCTACTGAGTTTGGGTTCAACAGTGACCATAAGTGACTTAATGAGTGACTCAAAGGGTGACGTAGTCAGCTTTCCTTCATGCTCAGGGTCCCTCTTTGGGGATTATGAATCTCGAGCTGTTTTGCCCCATGGTGGATCCACTGAAGCGCAATCACGAGCGCCCTTCCTGTCCAGGAGTCTCTAAAACAGCGGCCCTTCTTACAGGGTGTCACTATGGTCTTCACTATATGGGTAAAGATATAGGGGACATTGTACATAAATTTGTGTTATGATTGCAGTGTATTAAGTTTGGCATTGCAAAGTTTTTTGGTGAAAAGAGATCACATCGTTCCCTTTTGTACCTTGCTTTATCCGTACCAGGATCCACTCAAACCAAATGGTCTAGAGACAATTTGGGAGGGACCTCCATCACCCTTTTGTTCCCAAAAGCCATCCCGAAGTAAAGCTTTTCATGGAAACAAAAAGGATCATGTAGTGGGTCATGTTTGAGTGTTCACCTGAGATCTTTCACCTAGGTCATTACAAACACCTGCCATGGGACATGGTCTTAGGTGTTTGAGGCAGTCATTTCACCTGGCAGTCCCCCATTTCACCAGATCATGATCATCTTACTTGCTCAGGGGCAAGTCTCTATTCTGGTACTTGGACACATTCCAAGTCCAACCTTCTTCATTTCGGTGGATCCATATCAGTGCAAGGGCATGTGCACCCCGGTAGACACGGCGTTCGTTGGGCCTCACATCTCACGGTGGCAAACCACCCAACTCCCTGGACGTACATACAGGTATGTATTTGTCTAAGGCGACCTCCCAACCAATGGGTAGACGATGGTAGACTGGTGGTAGAGTTCCTTCTTCCAGGGGTAAGACAACGCCTGGAGGGTCTTCCTATTTTACTACCCAAAGCCTAACGAAAAAACCACCGTCTGGGGGGTCTACCCACCCTAAGGGGACCTATACCCACCCTGGAGGGTCTTCATCTCTGCTTTCCTGCAGCTTTCGGCTCTGCATGCGACGGTCGCGCCGTGGTCTTCGTCTCGATGCCTTGCGTCGCGGCGTCTCCTTGCGCGACGCAGTGCGACACGTGGCCGTTGGGTCAAGGAGGATGTCGGGTCAGGCCGGGGGAGGGGAACGGTCGGCCGGGGGAGGCTTCAAGATGCTTCAAGAATCAGAAGAATGTCCAAAATCAATAATGGAGACTCTTGATTAATAATACCCCCCATATGAAGAGGATGTCCAATTGAGGGGAGCCGTTGAATCAAGAGTCCACATTACATACGTGTTGATGGGACATTCTGATGGGCTTTCCCGTGGAAGATCAAGCCAAGTTCCTTGTAGATCTTGTAAATGTTCTTGTTGTGAGCAACCTTCTTTAAGGTTGCGAGCCACACCTTTAAATGATAGGCTTGGCAGTCAGGTATATAGATCGATAGGTTAGATAGGTTTCGAGACCACAAAGTAGATTAAGTCCAAAGCTGCTTGGCCTCCTCGCTGCCGGGCGAGGCTGGATTGGATCGATGGTACTGGCAGCAACTCCAAAAAGATGCCAACAAAAATTGTCGTACCTGATGGATCTTCCATGCATTTCCACGCAAAATGTGTTGTTTCTTTGTTTTCTGCAGTTTCTTTTTTCAAATAGAAAGAGCAGAATAGCTGTTTATACATATTTGGAAGATCCAGATATATTTGTAGGACACAAACAGAGCAGTGTAGAATGTCAGAGAATCACCCTGTAGACTCTCAGACTCTCAGTTCATCTCAGTTCTGCTGAAGGGCAATTTGCTGCCTCGTGGCAAATCGTCGTCTTTCCGGGATTTCTGGATCCCAGGGTCTTCAGTTGAAGAACAGTTTGGGTAGATCCGCATACCTTCATAAACGAATGGTTTGGCTATTCTGGTCACCGGAATCGGTGTTGTTCAAGGTCTCCCAGTGAGTGTTAGCAACTTCCAGAGAAAGAGAGATCCTGGTGGTCCACCACTCTGCGCCATCATCCACTTCACCGGAACGCTGCGACGATGTCGACCGTGACGATGGCCGAGCGTAGCATCGCGTGCAGCGGCAGGGTGACTGGCTGCGCTTCGGCGCTTCGACGGCGACGCAGCGGTTGAGCCAGCTGGGGCAGAAGGTGTGATCCACCCTGGGTGGGACGCCTGGTGGAGCTCCACGGGAGCTCCAACATACCACTTATAGAGCAACTCCTCTTGTACGAGTCAGGAATTGTCAGCCTCAGCATTAAGAACCATGACCCTCCCTGCAACAAACATGGAAGTGGACCATGCCCTCCTGGAAAGACTATGAAAAGAGCCATCCCCGTGCACATCCGAAGGGATTCTAAGCGGAGACCAAGCCACATGTGGAGATAGAATTACACGGTCCAGGGGTGCCTACAAAGGTCATTTCGGGAAGATTAGGGTGCATCTCACAGTGCAGGCATCTTCCAGTTTCTGAAAATGTGGCCGACAAAGCTGCAAAAAGAAACAGTGAGGCCCACCCTGAAAACCATCCTCGCATTCACAGTGAGCAGGATCAGGTTTTGACGGGTTGTTGCTTCCCCAGATCAGCGTGTGCAAAAGTTCAAACTACATGTTATGTTTAGGTGTGTCCAATGTTGAAGCATGTTGAAGCATAATGACAATATGGCAGACCCATACTGGTTGTTGAAACAACGATGCAGGAAATCTCGTTTGGTTCTATTTGGATTGGGTATAAGAGTATCATCATGCAGAAAGGACAAGCTCTTTCTAGCAGGATGACTTCGGTCCGAATCTGCACCTTATGTTTGTTCAGAACTGTTGCAGACCATGAAGAAGACAAATGGCCTAACAAGCAACAGTTGGTCATTGCATGGTATACCGGACCATTACCGATGTGTGCGGCCTATTAGCATTACTTCTACCAGACCGATGCCTCTGATACCGAATGGTCCGAAGCATCGAGGCCTGGTCCGGAGACCTGGTCTTGCGAGACATCTGGTTGCAGATCCATGCGCGTCTTCCGCCTCCCACGACGTCGAGGTTTGCTTTGCTTTGTGTTCCAGTCGGAACGAAGATCCGATCCTTCAACCTACCCAGGAAAAGTGGAGAACCGTCCTAACCTTTTTTTGGGGGGGGTTGGTTTCCCCACTACACAAGACGACCGGTAGGAAAAGGCTAGACCTTCCACTGCGAACGCCACGAACGCAGGTGGGACAAGCTTTCAATGAAACCGCCATGCGGCGATGTCCCTTGGGGCGATGAGGGCGATGTCTCGTGTGGTGTCGTGGTGTCGTGTCCGTCACTGACCGGGGGTGACGTGACCCGGCGTTTCAAGACGTTGGAGTGTTATCGTGGTACCCCAAATAGATAGAAAAAGTCAATCCCCACATAAAGAATGTGTGGTAATATAATTTGTTTGGTCTGGACCTTGGGATGTTTCAACTCAGCAACGAAGCCCAAGAGATTGAACCCCAACGTCCGGGACGTCGAGCGTCGTAGACGACCGTTGGGGGAAGTTCCTCTCTGTGTTGACACGGCCTGCGTCGGAGCGGCCGGCGGTGATCGATCGTCGGGGGAGGGGGGGGAAGTCGTCCAAAAGGCGACTTGATCGTCTTGATGAAGGGGGACGTGTATTTGTTTGGCTGGCTGACTCTTCTTGTATATAATAGATTGTGATGGTATGTGATGGTGGTGGTGGTGGTGGTGGTGGTGGTGGTGGTTCTTTTTCAGGTGGCATGTGATTGCTAGTAGGACAATGACACACAAGAACGTGCATTTCATTCTGCATCTTTCTGAGCCTCATGAGACCTTGTGGAACCCCACATGAGACCTAGCTGTGTTTCTGAGCCTCATGGAGGTTCCGGTGACACTCCATTCCTGAGAGTCACTCCATTCCAATTGCAACCTTAAAACCAACTCCTCACCCGTTCGTAGCTATGAACGGACGCTATTAGCTGGAGCGTACGCAAAATCGGTTGGACGCAGGACTGCTAGTAGCGATGCCCTTGTTGCAATCCAACTCAAACTGTTTGGGGCCTCGCGGGACGCGGGACTCGCCCGTACGTGATGGGAACCGGTGAAGCCATGCCGATGAATCAAATCCGATGCATCAGGTAGAAGAGGTTTTACTTCATCATCATAAGGCCCTAGAAGTCGTGGCCCACGATTGATTGAATAGCCTTCATCCCGAAGAACCGTTGTTTTACTATGCTTTTACATGAGTTAAACACTATTAAAGCCAGATCAACTGTTTTGAAATTGGTCTTTGACCTCCAGGGGAGAGGTGAAGCCCATCACCCAGATATTCCAGGTGGTTCTGGAAGATTTGCCTCAGATCTCGACCGGGTCATCCTTCTCAGACTAGGCCGACCGAGCCACCCATTGTGACAACTAAAGATGTGGAAACTTTCATGCGAAGCGACCGTGAGCGAATGGAGCTGAGGTGTGGCTTGTGGGGAGTCCTACATCCGCGCGGGAATGTGGACCTGTGCGGAGTGTGCCTTGGTGGCACATGGTGGCACATGGTGGCACATGGTGACACCATGGTGACACCATGGGCCCCCTGCTCTTGGCCTGTGGAAGCGTTTGTAAGGTTGGAACACAAAGGGAAAGATTAAGAGATCAAGTGGTTGGCTGGAGTTGTTCTTGGCCAAGGGAAAGCGAGACCTGGAAGCTGCCACTTTTCTTGATATCGAGTGCATGAAGAAAAGCTTCAAGCCCAAATATATACTATGAGCTACCAATCAGCAGCGAGTGGATGGTTTTGGTTTTAATAGAAGATACAGTCCTTTCAGAGGTTCGATGGCACAACCCCCAACATCTTTTATATATATATATGGATCCCCTTATAGGGGTCCGTATAAGCCACCAACATTGGGGCCGTTGTGCCATAGAACCTCTGAAACCACTGTATGATATTGTAGAATCCGGAATGGATTCTTCAGAGTATGGATGACAACCATTAGGAATCTATCCAGATAAATCCATCCAGAATATAGGGAATTTCCAACATTAATCATGTGTCATCATGATTCCCTATGATTGATGGATATCTCATCCAGATCTATTCAAGACGCTTCGCGTCGACAGCCGCCCACACCCCGCACGAACAGCCGAAGTTAGTGAAATGGAAGTAGCCATCTAGGCGCCAGGTTGGGGACAAGTGCAGCCATCAAGGCGCCTGAAAACCGTGTCCTCACCAGACACCCCTGGAGCGCAAGGCATCAGGCACATGACTTTGAAGTCTTTGCAAAACTTTTGCACCCCTTCAAGCCAGCGGTCAAAGTGAAAAGGTTGTTGTATTTGACACCTTCCTTCGTGCAAAATCACAGAGACCTCTGTGCAGAGCTAGCGCAAGTGCTTCAACTTCAAGATTGCGATACGATCGCCAAGCTAAATCCGGCAAGGGCCCGCCAGCTGGTCGTTCTTCGAAGCGATGCTGCTGATGAAACTTTTGACCAAGTGCGGATGGTTTTCTCGGGCCTCACTGAGGCAGTAGAGCATTGGATCTTTTGCTCAGAAGATAGATCTCGAAGTAGATCCGGCATTGCTGCATCCGCCAGCCGTTTCTAAGCGTTACCAGTCCGAGCCTCCCACTGTGTTGTGCGACAGCCATGTTGCGCTCCTACTTGACGGTGTGCGCTGTGATGGCAGCAACGGCCCAACCAGGACCAGCCGGAAACAGCTCGGGTGGGGGGTGTGGAGGCCCAAGTCCGCCGCCTGCTGCCCCAGTGATGGGTGCTGGGAGCGTGTCCAACCCAGCCACCAACTTGGCCCAAGCTATTGGAGGAGGGCCATGCAATGCCGCCGGTGAAGGACCCCCGCCGCCAGCTGTCAGTTTTGCAAAGGAAGGAGGGTGGCAAAGCGAGTTTCCTCCTGCCAGCAATGGACAGGAGCTACCCCAAAAAGGTCAGAGAAGGACCAACGGGAGGCGCCGAAGTTTAGTTTGCGGCGGGCGTCACCGCTTGCAGCGGGGAGAATTCATTCCAAGGTGGCCTGGTATCACCAAAAGATGAAAAGATAAAATGTTGGCACTGTTGCCTCCAACTTAGAATCAACTGCGGCCATCTAAAGGTAATAGAGAATGAAAGCAAGCCCAGACTCAGGCCACGTTTCCCAGACTCGGGGTAATTGGGATCAGCTTGGGTGAGACAACGTCGGCACTGAAGCCGCGGAGTGATGTAAGTTAAGGATGGAGAGACCTGACCGGATGCGCCTGAGTTGGACGAAGGGTGGCAAAGCCGGTTTCCTCCTGCCAGCAATGGATAGGATCAACCCCAAAAAGGTCAGAGAAGACCCAACGGGAGGCGTCGATGTTTAGTTTGCGGGTGGGCGTCGCCGCTCAGCAACTTCGATTGTCCCTCGTGCGTGTCATATGCGGTTGTGCGTTGCAGCGGCTCTCCAGGTTTCGCTGCCCTTGGCTCGAGAGCTCTGTGATCTTTGCACGTCGTGTCTATCGCGCACATGCCGCTGGTCAGCCAGCCTGCGGCCGTCGTGTGGGAGCTTCTCGCCTGGCTCATCAAAACAAAAGCGAGGGTTGGATCAGAGAGGTTTAGATCAATAAGGTTTTTTGTTCATGGGCCCTGTGTGTGAAAAGATCCTTTAAAAAGATAAAATGTGCAAACAAGTGCATTAAAGAGATCAAAAATGCAAAAATATGCAAAATATAAAGGCACATCCACGAATACTAATACAAAAACTTCTGTGCAATAAGAAGAGTGAATCACACATGCATAAATCAGGTGGCTGAAATCTTCAAAAAACACATGAACATGGATGGTCATATGTGTCATACCTTTAGACTGATAGAGACATATACCACGGACATGAATACATGGCTGCACTTCAGACGGAATCTGGCTATTGATTGTTTCTAATCTAATCAGAAATGTACATAAACATACATTAGTTGTAGACTATTTTTATGTCGGAAATGTGGTTCAGTATTATGTTTTTGCATTGTTTGTATATTGATAAATTAATGTCAACGTCGTATTAATCAACGGCCCCCCCCCTAGAAGGTCAACAAGGTCAACAAGGTGTGAGATTGGAGGTTTTGGAGATCACATCCCCCTAATAGTGGGGATGACCTGATGATGAAAGGGAATTAGTATTTGGAAGAATTGGAATGAAAGGGAATTAGTATTTGGAAGAATTGGAATGAAAGGGAATTAGTATTGTGAAAGGTATTGAAAAGGCAAAAAGAACAAAACAAATTAAACACATATATATTTAAGTAATTATATGTTTCCTGGGGGAACAGGGGGTAGACTAATAGGGGGGGTTCAGCCAAGCAAAATTTTTATTAGAGGGTGTTGACTGTGGAAATTCAACGTTCAAATTAGTTTATTTTTGGGGCCTGAACGCTGGGTAGACTAATAGGGGGGGTTGCCTAATACCAGGTTGACATTACTATATTGGTTCATTACAATGTGCAAAAATGTGCAAAATTGTGCGGAAATGTGCGGAATGTCCGGAAATGTGCAAAAATGTGCGGATTTCTGTCCAATCTTATGACTTTCAAACAATGCTTTGTGCTTGATCCGAAACATTTACTAGACACCATGCACATCAAACTCAGTCCACTCTCATCATCTCAGCACATCAAACTTAGTCCCTCAGTCCACTCTCTTCTCAAATGGAAGCAAGTTGCTGTGGAATTGTTCAAACGCTGAACTCATGTGACTGTGATAGCTGAGCAACATTTTCAAGCTTCTAAATGCCGTGTGCAAGAAGGACAAGTAAATGAGTTCATTGGCCCAATCCAATGCCAATCAAACGCTGGCCACACACACGAAGCGCATTTGGAACCATCCTTGGGTTTTAGTGTCCATCCTTCAGACTTTGCAATCAATCACAGGCTCCTGATGTGAAGTTTTGGTAGATCTAATGATCTAACCCTCCCTGATCCATTCCTTGTTTTTTCATGATCTCAGCATGCATCCTTGCCACGCATTGTTTGGTTGTCCAAAAAACATAAAATCACACATTTTCACAGATAAACACATATAAACACATGTTTCAACATATTGTCACACTTTTCAACATATTTTCACACATTTTCACTACCATAATTTTCTGAAACCTATCTGATCTAGACCTCCCTGATCTAGACCGCGACTTCGTGTTGGGGACTGGCTGCCCGCAGTGGACGCCGTCGGATCTTGCATCGCGCATTCCACGCTGGCGGCGCAGCTGCCGCAATATTGGGCCCAGGTCGAAGGGTGCATCGCAGAAACGCGCCGGCACTTGGACCTCTTCGACGAAGTTGGGGTATACTGACGCCATTCCTCCTGGCGCCGACACGCCGGTGAGTGGCCATAGATTACAGTGGAGCTCCATTTGGCATCGCGCGTCTGGCGCGCCGAGCGTTCAACTTGCCGTTGGACCGCTTGGGCGACATGCGGCGCTATTTGCGCGACTAGGCGCCAGGTTGGCTGTCTTATGGCTGCGTTGGAGCCATCTTGAGACCAACTTCGTCTACCTTGGGGCCCATAATGGTGATACAACTTCGGCATTGTGGCAGAGGAAATTGCTGTCAGTTTTGCAAAGCAAGGTGGGTGCAAAGCCAGTTTCCTCCTGCCAGCATGGACAGCAGAGCAACCCCAAAAAGGTCAGAGAAGGACCAACGGGAGGCG